TTGATATTTCTAAAAATCATATTTTAAATAGAGGAGCTTTTTTCACAAGTTAATATTGATCAACACTCTGCTATCTATTTAAGATAAAATGAAGGCTATTCAGAGCCTTTTATTCAAAGACAGATGGTCAAACTGAACATCAGAATCAAATACTAAATTATTATTTTTAATACTTCATGAATTTCCATCAAAATGACTGAGATAGATGACTGTCTTTAGTGTAGTTTATTTATAATAATTTATAACATAGCTTAATCAATGAAGTTTCAGCTCATGCACTTCTCAGTTACAGATCTGCCCTTCAAATTGATGACAGTAATTCACTCTATTCAAGCTCAATTAAGGCAATTGACCAGGCTAAAGAAATATAAGCAATATAGAAAAAGATTTAATAACAGCTGAAGAAGATTAAGACTATACATAAGATATACTATAACTTCAAACATAGTGCAAAGTGCTTTCATATAAGGGACTGAGTGCTTCTCAATGCAAAGAATTTCCACATACTCTATCTCATTAAAAAATTGAATCATAAATTTATTGATTCTTTTCAAATCATTGAATCTTAAAATACACAGGCATATAAACTCTCTCTTTCACACTCAATGTGCAATATTTACTCTGTCTTTCATATCTCACTGCTTGAATTTTATAAAATGAGAGATGATACTACTTCAACTTCAGTATCAGAGTTAGTAAATGATGAGAAAGAATTTCAAGTTGAAAAGATATTAAAGAAAGAGAAATATCAGAATAAAGAACAATACTGTATATACTAAAAAAGCTATGAATCTTCAGATAATATATAAGAATCTCTTGAGAATATTTAAAAGACTAAGACATTTGATATTTTTGAACAATAGAAATCACAGTGACAAGCACATTAGACTAACTCTGAAAAGTGTATTAAGCACTAATACTCTTTCATACATGCACTCTTTTCACTAACTTTTCTCAAATAAGATTTTTTTATAAGGTTTTAATGAGGCAAGCAAGGTATCAAAAATTATTATATTTTCAGAACAAATTTATTTCACTATTGTCTGAATAAGTCAAGAACTCAGATGCACATTTCTAGTTCTCTCTGACTTAATTTCTATTCATAATCATCACAGTCATCATATATTGCTCAGAAACAGCAATTCTTTTCTTTTTAAACTCAATACTCTTCTTCTCAGTCAACTCAAAGTTCTTTATTTCACACACAACTTCATTCTCTGCATTTTTTTACTTCTCATTCTCAGAGAATGCTATCAGCACATCTGCAGTCTCAATTCAGTGCTAATTATGATAGATAATATTAATTAAGACAGCAGTATGAGCTTTTACTGAATGAACAATATGCGAGAAAGCTGTCAACACTGCTATCAAACACAGCAGGTTAACTTGATAATGTAAGATCTTCACTGATCTTACTCACTCTGCAAAGAATAGAAAGTTTTGAAGAGCAAGTAGCTGACTTAACTCAGAAGAGAAAGAAAGCTAATAAACAATTATCAGTTATTACAATGAGCAAAAAATAGATTATACTTACTTGAATATATGACTTATGTGCAAGATGGCAAGGACTATAGTGTTTTTCACAGCAGAGATAATCATATATCATAGATAAACTACTCAGCTTGAACAAGTATCACTCACTGAGAATATCTCTAAGACAAGTTAGTCACATGATTAAACAATCATAAGCTATGACTCAGTAGATCTGTTAAACTATTATCACATATATGATGATGTCAAATATACTAAAAAACATGAGAGCTTACTCAAAGAGTGTAGGAATTGACTCTGTCATATTGATAGAGATAAGAAAGAAATGAGAAAAGCTTCAAGATCAGAGATAGCAGCAACTGCAAGAAATCTATAATGATTCTAATTGTAAGATTATAAAGAAAGAAAAATTCAAAGAGTAAAAGATATCTTCTCTTTTTATTCTTATAGCAATAAATGCTTTTATGACAATCATCTTATATAATTAATCTCTCAACATCACTGAATAAGTATCATAAATATTATTCTCTATATCAATAAATACTTCACATCCATATTTCTATATTCAAAATCAACTATCTTTCAGAGCTACTGAGGTTAGTACCTATGAAAAAAAGGACAACTGTGATACCAAAACTCTCTATATTAGCTTTTTATTCTTATACTGCTTATTATACTGCTTATCAAAGCACTTTAGAATCAGATTCTCTAGATTCTCACACTCAATTACTAAAGCACTTATCATTATACTGCTTATCAAAGTAGTTTAGAATCAGCATCTTCTAGAGAATCAGTATCATCTTAAAATTTAGCATTCAGAATCAGCATAGATCAACACTTCTTAAAAATCAGTTCTTTAACATTAGCATTTTCTGAAGAATAGAATCAACATTTTATGAAAATTTAAATTTCTGCATTGCTAATTCCTCATTTCATAAAAGATTAGAGAAAAAATCTATTACTATTCATTCATATATATAAACACTTTAAATTCTCAAAGTTTCTTTGAGAGATTCAGTGATTAGCTACTATTCAATTCTATATATACATTTTATTTATTGCTATTCTCTTCCCTCTATAGCACTTGCAGTGTCTATACACCTCCTCTCTTACAACCTTAGTTATAGAGCTTCTCATGCTTCCTTTTGATACTTAGTTTATCCACTTTAGTGTTCTCACAATAACAGATTTAAAGATTTAATAAAAAATAATTTCTAGATTAGCAAAGAATAGTTTCTCATCATTTTACTTATATTTATATTAATAAGCTTTGTTAACTGCTTTTACATGATAATGCTTATAATGCTGAAAAGTTAATTATTAATAAATTATAATAGATAATTTATATGAGATAAGAATTCAAACACAATATTACTAGTATAAAATTTATACTAATTAATGATAAATTCATAGCAGTTAAACTAGTTAATAATAAAACTTATATTTTCATTTAACATTAATTTTGAATTTATAGATTTTTGCTTGATTCTCTTATAATCTGGCAGATATTTGATGAATTGATATACTCACATCTTGTTAATGATAGAAGAAGAGATTTTATAATTAATATAATAATAACTAAATATTTAATTTAATAGCTTCAATATGTTCAACTATAGAAGAGCAAATGTTTTTATTCAATTGATGAATTCACTTCTTGATCACTTTCTTCTGACTGTCACTCAATATTTGATTGATCAGAGTTTTCATATTTCTTGATCTCTTTTATTTAATATATTGATACAAAGTTCTATATAAAATTTAAAATTTTCATACCACATCTGTGATTTTTAAATTTAGATTTGATTTTATAGTGTCTAATGCTATCTAAATCTGATCTTCTGAATATTTAATATTATTAGGCATGGTGGTAGTGATTATTGATTTTTGAAGATTGGTGATGAATATACTGTCAGGCCTATCCGCCTTCTTATGTAATCCGCACTGTATAACTTCTGCGTAGCTAGCGATCACTATATAATCAATCAAGCAATCTATCCTTCACAGGTTATGAGACTCATTTTGTGCAAATAACTACTAATTCAGGGAATTCTTATCAAATATAATATTTATTAATCACTGCTCACTTCATTCAATATAATATTGTCTTATTTTATATCAATTGATTAATTTGGCATACTCTTATATTATTATTATTTTTTTTTTGTGTTCAATCTGTTTGCTTAGTGGGTGAAAGAAAAATCTGCAACTTGCTAATTTTTCAATAACTGATCACACAAGAACATGTCAATCCACTCAATCAAGCTTATAGGCAAGAATCTTACTAAATAAAATTACTCTGTTATAAAGAAGATTAATATAATATGATGAAATATATGATAACTCACTTGTGGTCATGATTGAATCAATTCAGTCAATCTGACTGATCTGAAAATAACTAGGAGGCCCTGAGCTTACTGACCCCCCCAGGGGTGTTCAAGAGTTCCAGGATTGGACCCCCTGAAACACTTGATTGGCAAGCCAAGCTGATTACAGCCCCTATCACAGTGAGGCCAGTTCGCCTACATCATGTTGAATATGCTGATCTAACTCCTTCAGAAGATAAGATGGAGATGTTTGTGATGACCTCTAATCTGCTGCCAGCAACTGACTCTGAAGAATTGCAACTGAGAAGATTAGATCTTAAACATCAAAAGATTGATTTAGAACTTCAAAAAAAGAGGTGCAAAGAATTGCAGCTTCAACTTCAATTGAAGGAGCTCTGTGCTCAGAATGACAAGGTCACAATGCCTATAAATCTGCTGATGAGTTGATCATTGACATAGAATCTGAACTTGAAGTCTCAAATGCAATATAATCTCTATGACTTGGATAGCTGTGTCGGCAAGGTGATCAATCAGTTCAAACAGAATACTAAGTATGCCATCAAGCTGAACACTTTGGTCAAATCTTCAAATTACCTTTTCTAGTATACAAATATGAAGGCCAAGCTAATTGACACTCAATGCTGGGTTATATTGAAGGACAAGCAAGTCAAAAGCCCTGATGAAGATTCTGAATAAGCTCTTTTTTGAGAGGCTAAAAATTACTGGCTTTATACATTCATTTTGAATACATTGGTAGTCAGCATTAGGCTCTTTAATAAGTATGATGAGGGCAGGATCACTAATTCTCTTTGACACACAGTTGAGGAGGAGTTCTCCATTCTGAGAACACAGCTCTGCAGGGAAGTAGTCCTAGCATTTACATCAATGAGTGGTATTCAAGTCACTGACATACATATATTTTTTGATAAATTCAATGATATTATTATAAAATTGAAAATACTTGATATTTTACTGTCAAATGATATAATATTTCACATGTTCTATTTTGCACTTCTCAATATATGATGAAACTACATGCAAAAGAAAATTGAGAAGATACAAGAGTCTAAATCAAAGTCTGTTGTATTGAATGTTCATTCAATTATAGAGAAAATACACTCTCAATTGAACCTCTTCAAAGAGGTCAAGAAGGCTACCTAGGCAGTTAATTCCTTAGCCAACATGACTCAGGCTGAAAACACAGCTGTAGGTTCTAACAATAGCAGCTATGTCCAAAATAACTTAACTTATAGAGGCTGACCCAAGGGACATAAAGACTATTGAATAAGTAGATGTTCAAATTCTGACCTCTCAATCTGCCTGAAATACAAGTATTATCATAGTAGACTCTGCTGAGCAGCCAATTCAGATAGCATCTCTGAAGAATAAAGGATCACCAACACAGTGAGAATAGAGAAATATAATAATAAGAAGAGTAGTGAGGGCAAAAAGACCTCATCAACTGCAAATGACAGCTCTGAGATATTTCAAATGATGAATCTAGTGCAGGTCATTAAGGTGTCTGTGTACTCTGCTGAATCAATCATCAACTCACTCATCATATGGTATAGCAGGGCTAGATGTCATATTGCAGGTGATCAATCACAATTTTTCCAAATAACAGAGGTTAGTGGCTCTACAATTCAAGTGGTCAATAAGGCTACTTTGAAGGTTCAAGGGATTGAAATTGCCCCTATCTCAGTCAGAGAAAGATTAATTGAATTTGACCACATCTATTTGATGTCAGACTTATCTGCCAACCTCATATCTGCTAGTCTATTGAAGCACCAGAGCTATATTTACTGTGATCTGCAGGTGAACACTGGAAATTACTTTGAGATAATAGCATCTACAGAAAATGACATCTTCTATATGAATTTGAATCCCAATAATATATATGTTCTATCTGACACTCTCTCTATGTTCAGGGGTATTATGAATGATCTAGAGCTTGGACCACTGGCATACTTGACAGTCTCAAAGCCTAGAGTGATATCAATAGATTATGATCTGAATGCTATATCACTGAGTCTTTTCAACTATGATGATATGAAGCAGCTAATTAACCTGAAGAATCTGAATACTAATATCTTCATTTTATCCCTATCAATATAACTACCCGCTATTATGCTGAAGCAGTTACTGATTGATGAGTGGCATCAGTGATTGAGTCATATTGATGAGAAGAATCTAATTAAAATGTCACAGGAGCCCTGTTTCAGAATTGTTATCATTGACCTGAAGAAGCTTTTATTCTGTGCCATGTATGTTAAAGTCAAGCATAAATGTGCAAGTTATAAAAAATGCTTCACTACACTGTGCTACTTGCAAAGGTCTTAAGATCTGAGTAGACCTATTTAAAGGTGAAGAAACACTTGATAATAAAGAAGATATACCATTTTATATAGGTAAGAAGCTCATGATGATGATCACTGATAATGTCATGTAAATGTAGTAGATCTTTCTATTGAAGTACTGCAATGAGACTTTAAAATATATACAGATTTTTAATCAATTTATGAAGAATCTGCTCAATTGCAGTGTTGTAATTATTCACTCTGACTGTGATGAGTTCAATTCAAGCACTGCAGCTGCCTATATGATGAGTGAGGGTATTAAATGAGAATCAACTTCACCTCACACTTCACAGCAAGATGGTATGTTCAAATATTCTATTGGCCTGATTATCAAAAAAGTCTGAACATTATTAATAGATTCCTCCTTCCCCTACCAGATGTGGGATGAGGTAGTAATTATGATGACTGAAATGTTTAATCTTATATTAACATTAATCAAGCTCTATAATGATGTAGAAAATCTAAATCTAAAGCCAGTTATCTCATATGAAGCTTGGCTTAGGGCTCTGCCCTCCATATATAGGAGTTGCTGATGAGGGTATAAGATTTATTTAAAAATAGTACTCAAGCTGAATATGAAGATAGTCTTATGATTTCAGGAGCTTATATTAACAGACTATGATAACTTTACTAATTATAGATTAGCTAATCCTTCTAATGATCATCTTTACACATTGAAAAATATAATATTTCAAGAAGATCTTCATTTGACAGATTCTCTGGCCTCATCTGAACAAGATGTCAAGAATCTGTCTTCTGTCACTTGTATAGCTACAGTTGCAATCTCCTCCACTTAATGTGATTTATCAACAGATAATTTTATGATGGATGAGGAGTTTCTATCTACCCCTTCAGTATTTCTACACTCTACAAATAATTGATGAATAGACTATGAGATTACTGTGTGAATTCTAACATTTTTTGGTGTAGAACACTACTGCCCTCTTAGGGTCTGCTTTTGAGATAAAGAATTCTCCAATGCTCACTGAGAATATCACTTTAGTGAGGGAGGCCTCAGTAAGAAATTTCACTGACAATTTAACTGACAACTCTGCAGACTCTGAGATCACTGGCTTGCTAGTTTCAATGAATTTCACCTGAGCTCAGACATCTGCAGATTGGAAATATTACTTCTAAGTTTATATTAAGGAGATTAACTGCTTCAAGGAGATTGATACATAGTGACTAGTTGAAAGGACCTCAGATATAGTGATTCTACATGGCCAATGAGTGTTCAACAAAAAGATTAATAATACAGGTAGAATTGAATGATATAAAGCTCACTGGGTAGTCTGTGGCAATTATCAAGAAAAGAATGTCAACTATTCAAAGACATTTACACCAGTTGTATTGGCCTCCATCTCCTGAGTGCTTATAGCAATCTCAGTATTTCAAGAATAGTATATTCTGCAAATTGATATGATTACAGCATTCTTAAATGCCTGGCTTCTCATCAATGAATGTATATATATATATCAACCTGCTGGGTTCTGTGAGAGACACAGTAATCTAATATGCAAATTGATACAGGGACTATATGATCTGAAGCAAGTAGCACTATTATGATATAAGAAGCTGCAAAAAATGCTATTGAAGACAAACTTCTACATCAGTTCTCATGATATTGATTTTTTTATAAATGACATCTGCAAGGTCTATATAACCATCTATGTGAATGATGTTCATCTATATGATCTGAATATATCAGATATTGAATAGACAAAAGCTCAGATCACTACTAATTATGAAATCAAGGATGTGAGTGAATCAAACTGGTATTTGAGAATGAAGATTGATCAGAATGCTGAATCTTTATCACTGTCTCAGTCACTGTTCATAAAGAACTTGCTTGAGGAATTCTCAATGAATGACTGCTACTCAACATCCTCCCCTATAGAGAAGAATGTTGATTTCATGAGTGATAATATAGAATCAATTGCTTATACAGTGGAATTTATATTACATTTCTATCAATCAGAGGTTGCCTCTCTGCAATATCTTACTGCCAACACACACTCTGATATAAGCTTTGCTGCTGACTTCTTAGGAAGATTTAGCTCCTGCTCTATCTTAAAGAATTGAGCAGCATTCAAGTGAATTCTTAGATATCTACAAGGCATACCTAATATAGGTGTGTTCTATCAAAAAGACACAGATAGAGAATCTGTGATATTCACTGATGCTGATTGAGTGGGCTGTGATCTGGGTTTCTACTCCATCACTGAATATATCATTTATATAGCAGGAGGTCCTTGTAAAGAGTTAAGCTCTAAGAACTAGAGGCTAGTCCTCCTATATAACAAGAATGAATTGCTTAGAAAAGGGAAGAAAAGAATAAGATAAGAATATGAGCTTAAGCAAGCTCACATAGTATGATCATGTATGCATATATAAATGATGACTAGGCTAAGTCAAGCAGCTAGAGTGAATCTAGGAGTTCAGCCTCTTATAATACCTCTCTTCTCCCTCTTTGTTGTGAGCCTTTATGACTATTTAAAGTCCTCTTTACATCTAATTTTGCCTGGTGAGAGGCCTCTCAATTGTTCAAAGCCTTCACTTCTTGTAGAAGACTCATGTTATTCCATATAGCCTCAGCCCAATCTACTCATTTAACAAGGTATTGCTTTTTCCTCTGGTAGATTTGTTCATCTCAAATTTTCTCAATCTCAAACTTAGATCCTTCTGAGATCTCTATAGTGAGTAGCTGCCAGTCAGTTTGCCTCTGACTAGGCAGGTGATTCATCATCACAGCATGTAAAAGCTTTACATTAAAAATATTGTGAATGTCAGATGAGATATTCAGTCAGTAAACATAAGATTCTATCTTTTTTAGCACAGTATATTGATTGTATTTTGTGTCCAGCTTCTTGCATGAGTGATTAGCTCTCATGTTCTCTAAGCTCAATCAGACCTTATCTCCAGGTTGAAAGCTTGAAGCTGAGTCTCTTCATCTCTTCATGTAGTTCTCTTGAGATTGCTGAGCATCTGTCATTTTTACTTGAGCTCACTTCAACACTTTACAAGACTTCTTCATATAATCATCTGCAAATTCAATGAGATTATGTGATGTTTTAACAGGAAGTGCATCAGCTATATCAATAAAGAAAATATAGAAAAGATGTGTTAAAAAGAATAAGCTCATATCTATTGAGACAGTATCTCTATTATTGATGATCAGCTCTGTCAGAGATAGTCATTTACATCAATCATTCTGTTGAAAGCTAATGTACTTGTGTAGATAGATTATCAAGATCTGATTTATTTACTCTGTAGCTCTATCAGTCTCTAAGTGATAGACTGTGAAGAGTCATCTTTTAATGTTTAATTTCTCACACACTCAAGTTCAAAACATGCTTGTGAAAGTTGACTCTCAATCTGACACTACTGCTTTAGAAATGCCATGTTGAGGAATGATATTGTGAAGGAACACTCTAGTCACTATCTCTGCATCAATTTTCTTAACTGCTTTTAATATAACTCTCTTAGTCAGTCTGTCTATTATAATTATGATATTTGTATATTCTTTAGAGCTTGATAAGTTCATAATAAAGTTCATGAAAAGCTCCTATCACATGTGTTTAGGAATGAGAAGAGGCTTAAGTAGTCCTTGATATCAATCTCTTCATGCAGTGTTTGATCTGCAAAGATGACAGTTCCTGATCATTCTTCTCACATCAGTGGCATAGTCTGGTCAGTAGAACTCACATCTTAGAACTTCTACCATTTGCTCTCACCTAGGATGACTAGTAAGAGGTGAGTCATGAGTCTCATGCACTAACCTGATTTGAAGAGGTTTGAAGTCTGGTACTCACTTACAACCTTGAAAGAGAAGCTTTCTATTCTCATTTAAAGAGCACTCAGAGACAGAGATCTTAATGCTAAGTTCAAAAGAAAATCTGAATCTTTCCTCATAAAGAGTCTGCTCCAGATGCTGCAGAATCTTGTCATTTTTATAAGTCTCATTTCACTGAGCTTGAAGAGACATCTCAGGTTTCACACTGGCAGTGACCACTCTTGATTCCATTTCAAGTGCCAGTACATTAAACTTAAGTAGTTAAGCTTGCCTCTGCTTGATTCTCTCATCATCAGTATTCTGTGACATGTTCTGCTCTCTTCATGATAGAATGTCTGATTCAGTATTTAACTTCTCTGGTCAGTAATCAATTCTGAAGTTGAATTGATAGAGAATATCTATTCAACATAGCTGTCTTTTATTTAGTCTATGTGTAGTCATAAAGTATTTTAGATTCTTATGACCTGTGAGAATCTTGAATTTCTTTACACTTTATAGCTCAGCATTTCATTTCTTTAAACACTTAATTATTACTAATAACTCTTTATTATGAATCTTATAGTTGCATTCCACAAGTGAATGCTTGTAAGAGAAGAAGGCACATAAGTGTAGAATGCTCTGCTCATCATATTATAGCAGCACTTCTCCTAAAACATAATTTGAGAAGTCTGTTTTCAATATAGTCTCACAGTCAAAGTCAAATTGAAGCAGGATTGAAGTGAAGATAAACATTGATTTTAGATACTTAAAAGCTTCCTCAGTCTTGCTCATTCACAAAAAAGAAACATTCTTGCATGTAAGAATTATAAGTGAGATCACAATCTTTGAGAAATCCCTGATAAATTGTCTATAAAAATTGGCAAAGTCTAAAAATCCTCATACACTCTTAAAAGTAGTAGGTGTCACTTATTTCAAAACAACTTTAATCTTCTCTGAATTCATTCATATATTTTTGCCTGCTTCAA